GATATATTAACAAATATAGATAGATAGATAGAGAAATATAGATAGATAATAGATAGAAAGGTAGATAGATGGATAGATAAATGATATGGTTCAGATTAATGAGAGAATGTTTGATGGAGTTCTGAACTACAGGAAGCCTTCATTTAAAGTCAATTGCAAACTGCAGAATTCACATTTTTTAACTCACTTCAGGAATTCAAGATTAGAGTCCAGAAATTAGAAAATAAAACCTTTAAAACATCCTGTAAAGAGTGATGGTTAAGGATATAGGAAGTGTATCCTGATTTTCTGAACTCAGAATACCAAGTGGTTCCTGTATTTCTGAACTCTGTTTGAATATTTCAGATTCCACAATGTGGTTGATGTTAGAAACACAGCAGGACAATCACAAACAAAGTTAGAGTTAAGATAAAGATTAAAGGGACTGTGTGTACTTGTAAAACGGAAAATGGGACTGTGTGTACTTGTAAAACGGAAAATGGGACTGTGTGTACTTGTAAAGCGGAAAATGGGACTGTGTGTACTTGTAAAGCGGAAAATGGGACTGTGTGTACTTGTAAAATGGAAAAATGGGACTGTGTACACTTGTAAAACGGAAAATGGGACTGTGTGTACTTGTAAAACGGAAAGTGGGACTGTGTGTACTTGTAACACGGAAAAATGGGACTGTGTGTACTTGTAAAACGGAAAATGGGACTGTGTGTACTTGTAAAACGGAAAAATGGGACTGTGTGTACTTGTAAAACGGAGAATGGGACTGTGTGTACTTGTAAAACGGAAGAATGGGACTCTGTGTAATTGTGAAACGGTAGAATGGGACTGTGTACTGGTTAAAAATAAAAATGAAACTGTGTGCCCTGTTAAAAATTAAAATGGGTCTGTATGCCATGTGAAAAAGATAGAATAGGACGATGTACAATGTGAAAAAGATAGAATAGGACTATGTGCCATGTGAACAGAGAGTATATAGGACTTGATGTCTCTGAAAAGTAAGAATGGGATTGTAAGTCTCTTAGAATTAAGAATTGAAATAGGTGATTGTTGAATTAAATAAAAAGATACATAAAAGATTTAGGAGGAGAATGCACGCTTATTAAGAGAATAAATAAAGGAAAAAATTTTTTATTAACTTTAATGATTTACAAACAATAATTCTTGATTTCTTTATAAATCTTATTAAATTTAAATTTTGTGTTTTCTGCATGTAAATTATTTATTTCTCTGATCTGAACTACCCCCCCCTTACCCCCCCCCCCCCCCTCTTCTCAACGCCCCCATAACACACATGATGAGCACCACCTGTTAATTATTTAATCTATTTAGTCCTGAGTGTTCACAGATTGTATTTAGAAGGTTGGGTGTCCCACCCCTCCTGGGCCACACCCCAGGACACCCTGTCATGCTCCGCCCCACCTCCTGGGCCTCCCCGCCCACCTCCCGGGCCCCCTCCCCCTCATCCTTGTCAAACCTAGTGTGCACTCCTTAGGAGACTCTATGGGTAACAATTACTTTGTTTATTCTCACTCTAGGAACCTCTATAGGTGACCTTTTCAGGTCTCTCCAGGTACCCTTAGCAGCAATAGAACTTAGCTTTCAGTGTTCTCCAGGTACCCTTAGCAGCTTCAGGAATAGATCTTAGCTTTCAGACTTCTCTATGTACCCTCAGTAGCTCTAGGAATATATCTTAGCTTTCAGACTTCTCCAGGTATCCTTATGAGCTCTAGGTATATATTTTAGCTTTCAGACTTCTCCACGTACCCTTATGAGTTCTAGGTATAGATTTTAGCTTTCAGACTTCTCCAGGTGCCCTTAGAAGCTCTAGGAATAGATCTTAGCTTAAACCAGTATTGCAATGCATTACACCAGTATACCATGTAATTACACCATTACGGCATGCATTCCACCAGTATAGCATCCATTACAACATGCATTCTTGTACAATTGGAATGTTGAATTTAAAATATTCCCAGAAATGTAACACTTGCAAGCATGTAAATATTTGCAATGAAATTGAATTAATTCTGACGCAGAATCTAGCACGCAACACTTTTATTTGCGTAACATGAAGGTTGACGGTGCGTATATTTCTTCTTTTTCCATTTTTTTCCGTGGCGGGCCTTAAATTTAGAAAATGAAAATAGGTTTTATTCATCCCTGACCTTTAAATCTTAAACCGCAACTTAAAGGCACTTTGGGTGTAATGTAAAGTGACCCTCCATTTTTATCCGCAAACCTCTATATATTGAGGAGAACCCCCAATTGAACATATTAATTTCTCAGTTAGAAAAATGAGAAAATATCATTCATCCTTGATTTGGGAATGGCTAAAAGAGTTCCATTGTGGACCGATCATGCCACTCGAAAAAGGGAGAATCACTTCAAATTACGTTTACAGTCCCTTTAAATGTTTAATATCAATAATCCAACAATGTCGGTTAAGATGCATGATTCAAACTGCAGGATGGAGAACCCTTTGCTTCGTGCCGATATTCACGTTCTCTCAGCTTTACAAAATAGATCACTCGTTTGATGTTTCTGAAATCCAGCACAATAATAAGGTATGAAGTACATCGGTTAGTTCCAAGTACAAGAAACGACCTCGGGGTATGACGTACTCCATGTTCTTGTACTTGTACTTAGAACAGAGGAACCCGTCCTGTTGGATGATGCAGGAACCTGGAATGATCTTGGAGAATCATTTGTTCAAGTTCCAAGTTCTCTAGGTACCCAGCTGAGCTACAAAGTACCGGTTCCCATTCTCTGAGTTTAATTAAAAAAGCATGACATATCAGCGGTTTAGATTAGATTGCAAAACTTGAAACTATTCTCCAGGATGACTAGATACCAGGCACTTGTCATACTTCTTGTCTCCGCAAATTTTTTTTTCTTTAATCATCCAACTAACCCTGTTCTTCAAGATATAACTTACCCGGTCTTTCAAGATTTAACTGAACCGGTCATTCGAGAATTAACTCACCCTGTCTTTCGATATTTTACTCACCCGCAATATAAAATCTCAAATTTTAACTCACCAGGCTTATAATATCTTAATATTTATCTCACCCGGCCAATTATATCCCAAATTTTAAATAACCCGGCCCAAAACATCTCAAGGTTTAACTAGCTCACCCATCTTATTCCGGCCTATAATATCTCATAGAATAAATCACCAAACCAATATTCACAAGTTATAATTTACCCGACAACAATATTTCCTCAGTCAACCGATAGTATCCCAAGATTTAATTAACCCGGCCTAAAATATCTAAATATCTGACTTACCCGGCCTATAATATCTCAATATCTAACTCACCCCCGGCCTATAATATCTCAATATCTAACTCACCCCCGGCCTATAATATCTCAATATCTAACTCACCCCCGGCCTATAATATCTCAATATCTAACTCACCCCCGGCCTATAATATCTCAATATCTAACTCACCCCCGGCCTATAATATCTCAATATCTAACTCACCCCCGGCCTATAATATCTCAATATCTAACTCACCCCCGGCCTATAATATCTCAATATCTAACTCACCCCCGGCCTATAATATCTCANGTGCTTGGGGGGGGGGCAGAGATTTCTAAATTTAATTAATCTCTGTTCCTGCTGGGACTCGGAGAAACATTTGTATAATTCTTGAAACCTTGTTCAAAGTTTAATCCTTCCTTCATCATATCTCTCATCTCTGAATTCTACAAAAACTAGGAATTAATTAGTTTTTATCCCTTCTTATCTTCAATACAGGGAGACGCTAATGATAATTTGGAGAAATAGTTTTTTTTTTTAAATAGATTTTACGAGAAAAATATTAATTTCAGGAACAAACTGAATAAGGAGCTTGTCAAGTTTCCGCCGAGTTTACACAAGGAGTCTCTGAAGGATGCAGACTGTAATGAATGTTGCGAATACACCCTTCTAACTGAAATTATGGAGTTTGGGATATTTAGCTTGTAATTTCATGTGACTCTATTTAAAAAGAGGAATTTATGATTTACAAATGTACCCTTTACACCATTATCTGATGAATATTGCAGGAGATAACGTCGTTTTTCTTGATGAAAAAGTGATTAATTTTGACAGCGCTTCATGTATCGTTTTCATGAGCAGAAATCTGCAAATAAATTTTTATAGAGAAACCACAATTAGATATAATCATATTGCATTCAATTTCTAGGTCAGAAAAGGCTTAAAGGGTACCGTTGGGAATGGAACAAACCACGCTATAAATGTATGATCACTTGAATTTACGTCTACAGTTCCTTTAATGATATTCCAAAGATTTGAATAGTTTCAAATATTTGAGAGTGGATTACAGGTTGGATTAAGGTTGGATTACAGGTGTTAGAAATCATTAAATATCCAGGTATAGGTTCACCGCTATCCAGATCGGATCCACACAGAGGGATCAGAATCTGATCAATCCCAGCTCAGGATCCTGCCAGAGCTGTGGGAGAGGGGGGGGGGCTATCAACTTAATCTAAGTAATCCTGTATTATTGAACCGTTTCATAACTAGGGGGTCGCTGTCGAACACATTTTCTTCTGCAGTACCTTTACTATTTAAACTATGGTTGAATAAAAAAAATATTATACATAAAAATTTGTACAAAGGAATTGAGTCTTTGGAACAAAATCAAATATTTAAACCTCAATATCTTTAGAACCCGATGTCGTAAACCTTTGATATTTCAAACTCAGATTATTTGATTTAACAAAATTCATAGTTTGAAATATCTAAGGTCTGCAACATTTGGTTCCAAAGATATATTAATTATAAAATCAGAGTTTGTGGCAAAAACTCAATTCCTTTTTTCAAAAAAATGTTTAATTGGGATACCCGTAAGTTCAACATTAAATATTGTAGATTTGGGAGAAATTAAATTTGTTGCTGTTAAACCTTCATTATCGGAGCAGTAGCACAGTTAGATGTCGAAATAAGCTTTTTCATATTTTTAGATGAAAAGATTATACTCAGTTTAAAATCACAACAGTTCTAAGATGCATATTTATTAAAAGTTAAGATACAGAACTAATAATTTTGATTGATATGTATAAGCTCTAAACTAAATGCAAAGCTGATAACTTTTAAATGGACTGAGTTAGTCATTCCTCCAAAGAGTTTAACCCATCTCTAGTTAATATTATCAGTTTAAATGTTTCTGACTCAATTTAGTTTTGTCCTCTGATAGTTCGTATCATTTTCTCCACAGCAATAGCTCGACCTGAGAATAGGGATGGGCAAATATGTTTTTATCTTTTTTAGAAATCATTTCAATTGCTCTTGAACAATGACAAATCAAATCAAATTAGTAAAATCGTTTTGAAATATTTCAAAACCAGGCTTTCACTTTTCGACCATCTTCTATTTCAATTGTGAACATTTTCTCTTTGAATACATTGTAAAACAAGAACTAAAAAAGTTCGAGGATTTAATAAAAAATGTCGTGGATTTTCAAAATTTAATGAAAATCGAATTTTGTTGGAGGCTAATTTTTAATTTTGATTATCTAAAAATCTTTTCAGGGGTCATGTGAAGTCACACACAAAATTTGGGCCGATCGGTTTAGCCGTTTTGCCGTTTATTGAATACAAACAGACAGACAACAGACAAGTAAATTATTAATATTTAAAAAAAGAAAATATATTTAAAACGAAAAATTCGTTTTAACCGAAATTTTTTTTATCGTTTTCCGTTTCAAAGTACAAAAAATTATGAATAGTTTCAAAAAGAAAAAACAATCGTTTCAGAATTTCAAACATATCAAAAAGATTTAAAAAATTATTTTTCGTCTAGTTTTGAAATTCTTGCGATTACAAAAATCGGAAAACGTTCGGTTTGAAAAACTACAGACGATCCCATCCCTACCTATGAATTCTGACCGGCAGGTGGGACAGCTAGATATCTAGAAGAAAAACAAACATTTAATCCAGTTTTAATTAGTCACTTGATCTAGCTGCTTACATGTCAGTCCGGTACTTTAAATGAACCTGAGTTTATAGTGTAGTGCATCTTTTTCAGGTATTTTTTAACATTCAACGTCTTTTTAGAACTCCAAGAGACTCTACAAACATCTCAAAATGGTAAACTCCACAAATTTGATCTCACTATATAACAAACCATTTTAGCTCTATGCCTGAATGAAGCAACCCCATTCCTTCGTTAACAAATGATTTCAAAACTATTTCAGACTTTTGTGGAAGTAAAAATTTAACTAACTTTTAGAGCATGAGAATACAGTTTGGCAAAAAATTTTGTGAGCCTTTTTTATTTCCGAAAAAAGGATTAAAAAATGATGTTCAACAGTAATTCTAATAAGCTTCACTTAAAAAATATCACCTCTGTTCGTCCGTGACAAGATTCACAGATTGTATGTCCTAAACCAGGTTCCAGGTTCAAATATTCATTTTCATCTGTTTAGATGATTTTGGATGCAAAGGAAGGTAAGGGGATTAAAGGGGAACAAAGTCTCAAATGTTTAAAATAAAAGATTATTGAAGTTGATTTAAAAGCTGGGAATCCTGATTTAATGAGTATTTAAGAAACCCAATGCCAACATATCTATCTATCTTTGATTCGGTTTCAGTTTTCTTAAATTATCTGTATGGAAAAATTAAATATAAAAGCGATCAAATCATTAGTTTACTCATGATTAGTCCTTTAACCACCTTTAAAAATTCGCAAAGACTCCCATTAACCAGACAATTATATATGTGAGTTTATATCTATAGCTGAAGTTCTATTAAAGCCTTGAACTGGAATTATCCTGCCTGAAACACACTGAAAGACGCGTTCTTTCATCTCCAGTAAACATATTGGACACTCAGTCTCCTTGGCCAGTTTCTGCAGTAACCCTGCTACTAAAACAAGGACATGGAGTAAACAAAAACCTGGCAGGACTGTAATTAAAAAATAACATGGAGAAAACCTGAATCTGGAAGGGTTGTACTAAAATAAGAACATAAAATATGCCCGAATCTGATAGGAGTGTACTGAAATAAGAACATAAAGTATGCCGAAATCTGGGAGGGTTGTACTAAAAAAGAACATAAAGTACGCCCAACTCTGGCAGGGTTGTACTACAGGGTGTCCCAAAAAACATGGGAATTCAGTGACGAATTCGATATCGTCTTTTTTATGAATTAGCATTGTAATACCTAATTTCAAAAGCCTTAATATTATTATGTCTGCTAAAGTTTATTTTATGAAAAAGGTAAAAGACTGTAAAGATGTGTCTATAATGTCTCCGCAAGATGAACAGTGAAGACGGACAAGTTTACTGTTTGTATACTGCAATTTTCTTGTTTTGCTAAGTACAACGGTATTCAGTCAAGACATAAACAAACAAAATGTAAACATAGCAAACGAAACTCCTACAGATTACGGCTTTCTCAGTAGGTATCACTATACTAAAACAAAGAATTATCTATAAAGACGATATCGAATTCGTCACTGAATTCCCATGTTTATTGGGACACCCTGTAAAATAAGAACATAAAGTACGCCCAAATCTGGCAGGGTTGTACTAAAATAAGAACATAAAGTACGCCCAAATCTGGTAGAGATGTACTAAAATAAGAACATAAAGTACGCTCAAATCTGGCAAGGTTGTACTAAAATAAGAACATAAAGTACGCCCAAATCTGGCAGGTTTGTAATAAAATATGAACATAAAGTACGCCCAAATCTGGTAGGGATGTACTAAAATAAGAACATTAAGTACGCCCAAATCTGGTAGGGATGTACTAAAATAAGAACATTAAGTACGCCCAAATCTGGTAGGGATGTACTAAAATATGAACATAAAGTACGCCCAAATCTGGCAGGGTTGTACTGAAATAAGAACATAAAGAACGCCCAAATCTGGCAAGGTTGTACTAAAATAAGAACATAAAGTACGCGTAATCTGGCAGGTTTGTACTAAAATAAGAATATAAAGTACTCCCAAATCTGGCAGGTCTGTACTAAAATAAGAACATAAAGAACTCCCAAATCTGGCAAGTTTGTACTAAAATAAGAACATAAAGTACTCCCAAATCTGGCAAGTTTGTACGGAAACATGTTTGGTTCAAGGCATTTTCCAAACTTCCAAATGGCAAATTCCCAAATACAAAATTTTCCATCGACACTTTCCTATGAATGTAATTTCTAAAATGACTTTTCACCGTGTTTTCCTTACTACGACTGTCTAGACCTAAAAAGCGATGGATTTCTTCTATGCGGACAATCTAGACCTTTTACACTGATAAATCTATTTACCTGCTTCCTCAGTTTTGTCTAGTTTAGAAGTTGGACTAGAGGCAGGTTGGAGCATGTTGATACATTTACTAATTCTTTTATTCTTCTCTATCTCCTTCATACTCTTCTCCTCCCTTCACATTAAAGAGAATACGATCAACATCATGTTGGAACATTTAGAAAGAATTTAGGAAAGAATAAATCTTTTAAAAACTGATATTTTTTTTTTATCAATTATTGATTATCTAACCACATAAATATTTGACCTTTTTATGGGAGGGGGGGGGGGGGTTTGCAATTACGTCAAAACTGCTGAAACGAATAGGCCCAATGATTTAAAGTTTAACATTTTACCAACCCAGAGGTTTTAAACTTAACTAATTTGTTTTCTTTATCTTAAAGATTCTCCCATAACAACAGAAAAATCCTTGAAAATTTGAATTACTATTGTTTTAAATGATCGAAGAAAAATGGTTTAAATAAAGTTGCATTCTCTTTATTCCTTTGTCTCTCAATCATCTCCTCTGTCTCCCGTCCTTGTCTCATCTTCATCTCATAGGTCTGCTTGGTCTGTTTGGTCATTAACTCATTCTTCTCCTTCCTGTGTTTGCTCTCCAGGTCGCAGAATATCCTCTCCTGCCTCCCCTTTAAGGCTCTCTTCTCCTTCTCATGTTTGATCTGTAATCTGAACCAGGAATATTAAAATATCTTTAGCTCAATGATGTTAAAGCGATCATAAGCTTTAATTCAAGTAACCCTTAAAATGCAATGAATGGCACTGCCGGATTAACAACAGTGCTCTTAAAACATTTATCTGATAGATAATGTGGAGAATAGTGTTGTTTTTCTAGTTTTAAAAGTGTTTAAATTTAATCATTTCTAAATGTTTTCCTGTGGTAGAAATGCGTAGCTTGTCATCTTAACATGGAGGGTCACTTGAAATTACACTTTCCATCCATTTAAAACTTTAATTTATTTTGGGAATTTATATTTAAACTTGAAAATTTTAGAAACCTATTTGATATTTGCCTTTGAGTTTCTGATTCCCAACCTCCTTTAAGATCCTCATCATCTCTCTCAAAACTTCTGTTGAGATCATCCAGCATCTGGTTTACACGCTCCCGGAGCACGCCAACCTCCTTCTTGCACACGCTAGGGGTCGGGGCATCCTTAATATGGAAACATTAAAATCAGATCCTGGCTGCTGGTTCTACTTCTATTCTAACCTGTATTCTGCAGGTTTTTCTGATCCTGGTTCTATCCTATCCTTTATCCTGCAGGTTTCTCGGATCCTGGTTCTATCTTAACCTGTAGCCTGCAGGTTTCTTTAATCCTGATTCTATTCTAACCTGTATTCTGCAGGTTTCTCTGATCCTGGCTCTATCCTAACCTGTATCCTGCAGGTTTCTCAGATACTGATTCTATTCCAACCTGTAGCCTGCAGGTTTCTCTGATCCTGGCTCTATCCTAACCTGTATCCTGCAGGTTTCTCTTATCCTGGTTCTCCTCTCTAGGGTTATAATCTCTACAATCTCCGTTTTCTCTTGTTCACTCATCCTCCAACTATCCCGGGCATACTCCTCCAATCCTCTACCCTGGGCATCAGTCTCCATTATCTCAACCCCTCTTAATAATGGTTTGTTTTTTGTATATATAACATTTATATAAATATTATTTTGACAATTTATTTAAAAGTACCTCATGTTATTAGCTAAGAATGAACAATCTATTTTCTAAATTTCAAAGCTTGCTATAAATCCAAAATTTTGAAAATAAATTTTTTACACATGTAATTGATGTGGCTCAAAAAATCTTTGAATACGTTTATGTAATCTGTTTTGTGCACTAGAGTATTGTACATAAAAATTAGCAAGTGTTCATCTTTTATTCTTATTTTGTATTTGTTTTTGTACAATGACGTTGTAAAATATTAGATACATTTCCCAGATTTTTCTGCTTTTTAATAGTGTATTTTAAAAATGTAGAAAAATTTACAGTTTTGCAATCGGAAATCAAACATAAAGAAAATGAAAATATTCAGAGGACGGTCTAGCAATCCAAATGAACCTGAGTTTACAGTGATATACAATCCTCATGTATCTAGATATACAATATCTTGTATATACATACCTGCAGTTGAGCATGACCACGAGAACATCACTGGTTCCGTACTTGACTCCCATCATGATCGGAGTGTTTCCATAGTTATCCTTCAGGTTCAGGTTTACTCCAGGCATGGATACAAGACGAGCTGCTGCAGCCTCCTTTAATCAATCAATCGATGTATTGATAAATTATTTGATTAACCGATTGATCTATTGATCAATGGTTTAATTAATCAATACTTAGATAAATTGATCAATCAATAAACCTAGCAATCAATCAGTTGGTTGATAAGGCAATTTAGTTATCAAGCATTCAATCAATAAATCAATCAATCTGTTGATCAAGCAACTAATATCTAAATTTATAAATCAATTAATCAAAAATTTACCAGCCAATGAACAAATCAAACCCTTCAAACTATTAATTAATCAACTAGTCCACAAATCAACTAATCAATACAATAAATCGTTTGTTCCTAAGTTACCAAGTTTACCTTATTGAACCAGTTTGCCACGTGGAGCGCTGTTCTCCCGTTCTCATCCGTCAGGTTTGGATTTATCTCTGGGTTTTCCAATAAACTGGTCCAGATCTCAACATAGTTGTTCCGGATGGATTCTCTGCACAAATAAAGTATTTTAATGTATTTGACAAAAATTTATTTATAATATTTTACCTTAAAGGTTCTCCATCTCTACAGTTTATATTTATTTCAGATCTAGACAAATTCAAAAGATAATTTGTAAAAGCAGATAAAAATCAAAAATTTAAAAAATTGTAACAAAAATACTGATGCTAACAATAAAATCAAATTTGTTAACCCCTTTTATATTTGTAACCTGGGGTTATATCAAACGATGGATTCTGCTAGATCAAATAATCATAGTCAAAAGTATCAAAGATTTCAACCATCAGGTTGCGAAGATGAAGGGATTAAAAAATTATAGTTTGTGTAGAGAAATTAGTTACAATGTTGGTTTATAAATATTAGTTTCTTAATTTTAATTTAAACTTTTTAGATACATTTCTAAGAACTTAGCTTAGAAAAGATTCTTTTTGGCTTGATTGGTTAATTGATTGAGTGATTGATTGATTGTTCGATTGATTGATTGATTGATTGATTGATTGATTGATTGATTATACCTAAGAAGTCTATTAAATGTCTCCGTGTCTCCATGTTTACAAGCTGTCAGAAATTCTTCTTCCAATCCTTCCCGTCCAGTCTCCATCTTATCTAGTGAAAACAAGAAGTAAATAAAGTAGGGAATATTGTGATTTTTTGTTTTTATTTCAAACCTAGAATATTTGATCTAACACAATTCATAGTTTGCAATGTCAAAGATCTCCGACATTGGGTTGCTAAGATCAAGGGATTAGAAAATCAGAGTTTGTGGCAAAAAATGATGGTGAAAGAATTTTTAAGAGGAGCTGGATAGCATTTTTATTTGTCAGAAAAAATTTTAAATTTTCTTTTTGATGGTTTCTCAACAAATGTGGTGTTCACATCATCATATATTGCATACAACTTGCAGGTTAAAACACTTTAGTTTATCTCTGTATATAACGGTGTAGACTGTAAGTATAACTGAACAAGAAGAAAATCTGAAGAATGACTGATTCAGAGTAAAACGGGATAAAATTTATTCAAGGTTAATCCAACGAGAAAAAGACCCCCCCCATTAAAATTTCAATCATTCATAAACCATCCCTGGGGTCCCTAGATGTCCCACAAAAAATTTGGGCCCGATCGGTTCAGCCGTTTTGACGTTTATTGGATACAAACAAACAGACAGACAAACAAACAAACAAACAGACAGACAAGCCAAATTTATATATAGATATGTAAATTGTATGTAAAATGCACACGGAAATTAATTGAATTTAAAAGCAATGAGTGCAGTGATGCAAAAATACATTTTTGAATGTAAAACGTATTCATGAATAAATGTATTTAATTCTAAGAATACATAGAAAATGATATATCAATGTAAATGAAAAATATCAGATGCAACAATTACATTATTTTAGTTAAAGATATAACGAATACTACATGCGTTTCTCAGTTTTCTGGTTATCCTTGGTTGTAATGTAACTATTAATATATTTAGAAATGAACGATGTATGAAACTGATTCTATTTGCTAACCTAACTCCCAGAATATGATAGATAAGAATTTGTCCCTGTACTCCACAGAGATAAGAAATTATTATTTTATCATATTAATCATACGAGGAATGTTCAAATATAAATAAAATGTGCTGTAAGCTATATGATCATGGTTTAAAGATCGTCTTTTATCTTTAAAATAATTTGCGGGGCACGTGCCCCCTTTACCCCCAAACGGGGGGCATAAAGGGGCATACTTTCTGAGACAAAAAAGATGAAATGAAAAAATAAAAAGAAGGAAACTAAAATGAAGAAAAGAAGGAAAAAAGGGGAGAAAATTGGGATAAAATCTAATTTTTGTTTCTAATATTATGCGTAAAGGAGATTTTTCCTTAAATTACAGAAATATTGAGTTCTTTCTGAAATAAATTATTTGGGAATTTTTATTTTTATCCTGTCTTGTGAAATGAAAGGCTTTATATTAACCTTTTTAGTATTTTGAGAAGCTTATCTCCCTTCTTCCCTTCTTTTCTTAGATTAATGATTCTAATGAACCATCGTACTACATAAAGTAACATGGAGACAAATTTGAATTATATACAAAATTTGGCCTGGTTTAGGAGAAGCCGTATTTACTCATCTTCAAGCTTGCAGGGGAGTTTTTTTGAATTCTAGTTTTGAGAAAACTGAAGGTTTTCGTGTTTGAGCTTTTCTCAAAAATAAGTATTGGCTATTCGGGATTAAAAATTTTCAGTATTACATTTATTTATAGTTTAATTCAAATCTCTGCATCTTATACCTCCAGTTTTTTTAATTTTGATGCAAACACCTTCTCAATAGCACTTAAGTGAACGAAAACAGTCTTAATTAACTATAATGTGTGATAAGCTAAAAATCTAGTTTTATAGTCTATATTTATTAATTTCTCAGGTAAAAAATTATTTCGCCTCCGGCGTGCCCTTTACTTATCTATCTATGCTAGTTTTAACTTTTGTGCCCCCCCCCCCCTTACAAATTCCTAGCTACGGGCCTCAACGCCACAAATCATTTCAAAGTTCAAAGCCGATTTACTAGTCGTCTCTCAACTGTCATTTTTCGAGGGACACCCTGTATATTCAAGATTATTATAAAAAAAAATTTTAATTCTTATCGCTTTTTCTGTATTTGATTTAAAAAGAAATGATTTAAAAGTTTTAAACAAATATTTTATCTGAACCAGTGGAGAAAAATTTTAGATGCCTTCTTATATTTTTTTGCCTTTCAAATAAAGACTTCTCTAAGATCTTAGAAGTTTATCATATTTTTAAGTTTTTTGTTTTTTTTACAGAAACAGAGCAGAATATTTGCATAATATGATCAAAACATGTTATGATAGACTCCGTAGATTTTTGTGGTGTAAAATAAAAAATAAAATAAAAATTGTAATGTTTGCCCACTCTTTATCAGTTTCGACTATGAGAAAAACATCTTTAAAATTTTCAACAAAAAATATTAAAATCGGAATTTTTTCTTTCTGAACAACCTCAGCTTGCAATTCAATGGTTTATTTCAAATCAGATTTAAAGGTGTCTGATGTAAATGTAAATGCTCGGTTATGAACAAAGCAAAAGTGTGAGATAGGTGTCAAGTATCAAATGGTTCACCGCATACTAATCTGAATAAACTAATAAACTATATACAATATCACATAATGGCATCCCCCCCCCCCCCTCCCCTCCTGGATTCACATTGAACTCGGAAATAGATCTTAAATTAGAATTAAAGGGACTGTACGCGTAATTTCAAGTAACCCTTTATGCAAAGATGACAATACTCGATTATCAATGGTACCCTTAGAAGCTTGTCTGATCAAGAATAAATTAGATTTAATGTTTATATTTTTGAAAAAGAATATTTTCCAGTATGGATTTTAAGTGATTCACGTATTTCTACTGCAGGAAAACGCTAATGAATTATCAGAAATAAATGCTTTTAAATCAAGACCAAACGACAATATCTTCCACATTAATGATCAGATAAAGGTTTAAAGGGTACCGTTGTCAATTAGGAATTGCTCTCTTTTCATTGAGGTTCACTTAAAATTACACTTACAGTCCCTTTTACAACACAAGTTAGAATATACCCATGCAGAAAATTTTACAGTAAACTAGTTAGGAACATATTTCTCAATAGAAAGTTGTCAATAAATCAATTTTAACATCAATTATTTATTATCATTTATCTATTATATTATTATCAATTATCTATTTCATCATTATATTGAATTTCTTTTTCTTTACGAATTTGTTCGCAGATTTATACAAATTCTTCAAATGTCGTCTTTTCAATAAAAATTCCAGAAAATCTACAGAAAATTCAGAGATTTCAGAAACTAATAACTGAATAAGACTACTTATTTTCGATGATGAGAGTTAATTTTTAGTTTCTCAACCTGTTCCTAAACAACTAAGAAGTTTACTGTAGAATTTTTGTTTGTTAAAAAAAATTTATTCTCAAAAACGTTTTATATGTCTCAAATGAATCTTTAAAAATGTCCCTACAACAGTCTCAGTTCAACTAGCATACATTGCCGGTCACTCCCTTTAACAATATAATGTTTCTCCCCTCACTTTATTGAATTAGAGATGACACCGTATTGAACCCCCCCCCCCCCCTACAGGGTTAAATGAGTATATTGTGTGTATCCTAGGAACCCCTAAATCATATTTAGAAGACCATTATTGTTCAGCTTAATCTCATTACTACTGATTAATTTGATGAATGGGTGTAAACATCTGGGATTCTCAGTGTGACACTCTCTAATCTAGTCTCACCAAATTGATTATTTAAAAATCCAGCAAAACATTGGTTCAAAAAATGTTAAATAGGGAAAAGAAATTTTGGGCCCGATCAGTTCAGCCGTATTGACGTTTATTGGATACAAACGAACAGACAGATAGACAAACAAACAGACAAACAAGCAAAGTATATATATAGATGGCAAGAAATAAAAGAAAGAGCAGAAAAGTTCGAATGGAATATTAAAAGTGTAAACAAGAAAAAGAAAAAGAAATGATGAAAATATATCATTAAATGAAACGGACAAAAGTTTTATGTAATAGGAAGAAAAAGAAAAAAGAGAGAAAAAGAAAAGGAAAAAAGTTCGAAGCGAATATAAGGGGAAAAAGGTGGAAAGAGGGAAGGGTAATTAATTTTATAAAAGAAGAAAAGGTCGCGGGGAATATGGAGAAAAGGAAAATAAAAAGGAAGTATATCATTGAAATAAAAAAAGAAAAGTTCAAAAGAATACAAGGAAAAGGGAGAAGTCCGAGGGGAATATTGGGAGAAAGAGGGAAATGAAATGTATAGAATTAAACTGAGCTCTGTATGGGAATAAAGGCTGGATAATTGGATGAACTACTGTGAGATACTCCCAGATACTCCCATCAAACCATCTGCTGGAAAATATCAAACATAAAAAGTGCTGAATGAGAGAGAAAAGTGCTGAATAGATCAACATGACTTCAAGTTAGACAAAACTAGAACTGTTTATCTTGTCAAAATGTCAATAAGAAAAAAAAGGATAAAAGGACCGAATGCTGCTTTCAATTTATTTCATCAATGAATTGAACAAATGAAGCCAAAAGTTTTATTTTTGCCCAATCACTATTCAGAGCATTAAAAAAATCTTTATAAAGCATTTTAAAATAACCCTCTATGTGAAGAGTTCCATTCCCGATTCACAACGGTTCCCTTTAAACCAATGCCTGAGCAAAAATTATGAAGTTTTGTTCTGCCTCAAAATTGATAATTTTCGATTAGATTTCAATTTAGAATGACAATATCTTTAACCTCGTTTTGTATAGGTTTCTTGAAAATTGATGGAATTTTTCATGTCAGTCTTTGATCTATGTTTACTTTTCTATATTCTTAAAAATTGCACACTCCCTTTTCGCCATGTTTAACCACTTCATTTCTGATGAAAGCTCGCTAAGATAAATTAAAGGATTTGACCTACTGTAGTCTGCACTCGGAGCAGAACTGCCCCAGTGTAGTTTGCACCAGGAGCTGGAATGTTTAACAATTTAATCCTTCCATTACAATCCTGTCTTTATCCGGGAGTTTATTGGAATTTTTTAGAAATAATTTCTCTCTAGTGACACCCCG